AAGGTCAAGATCAACCAGGATGACTGCGCTCCAGGGAATGTCAGGAATTCCAGCCAAGCTCTCACCCCTGAGTCAGGAATGTTGGGGCCCGGGGAGTGAGGGTCCTTGGGATTGGGGTGTCAGGATCTTGTCTATGATCTGGGGCCTTCTTTCTCGTGTTCTTGGGAGAACGGCAGCCACGAAGCCCCCAACCTGGCCCTGTTTGGAGCCTCCTACTCCCGCCTCTTCTGTGCACCCCACAACCTACAGGTCAGGTGGCCCATGGGGTGCTCTGCGAGCTGTGAGCTGGGCCTCGGGGACCCGGCCCCCAGGGCTGTGCAGGGCATAGCCTGGCCTGCTCCCTCGGCAGGGCAGGAGGCCCTTCTGCTCCTCCTCCTCTGTGGCCAAGCCTCGTTATTGGGGTGTGAGGAGGAGGCCATGTCCCTCTTCTACATGCCCTGCCCACGGAACAGCCCTGTCACCCCAGGGAAGAGCACTGTTCCCAGGGTTCCTTTCATGCAGGAATGGCTGGGCTGTAGAGTCCTCCATCTCCCAGGCTGGGGACACACCTGCCCTGACAGAGCTGGCAGGCCACTGTCCCGTGGTGTTGTAGGGACAGACGAGGCAGGACACCAAAGATAGCAGGAAACAGTTTTATTTGGCTGCTGCCAGGTTCAGAGGGCACAGCTTTTGCTGAACCCCGAGTTCAGGCAGTTTCAGAACTTTATACCCAGCATGTGAGGGGAGGGGCTCAGAAGTTCACAGTCTACAAAAGTTCACATAAAAGCAGCTTTTTCTTTCAGTGTTAACCCTTCAAGGACAGCACCTGAGGAGGGGGAGCTTCTTCTCCCCTTTCTCCCGTCCCCTGCCAGCTGTTACCATGGAGCCTGGTTGTAACTTCTCTTATCTTAGGAATGTGGACATCTCTGTGAAGCCCAGCTCAAGGCCAGAGGCCTGTTTGCACATTTCTACCAACTACTATACTGGATACATTTGTGAAAAACTAGTGAGGGGGTGTCCAGCACCTGGAGTGCTGATTTCTTCCCTGCTAGTGGCCAAGTAAACAGGGGACAGGACAATAGGAAGCTTATCTACATTAGCCTCTTTTGCTGACAGTCCTAAAATCAGCCCAGTTAAGACTTTTCTGTGGGAAAAGGGGGTGTCACTACAGTGGCTGCTCCAGGTTCGGCCAGACTGCGGAGGGCACCCTTGGCTGCAGGCCTGGGACGTGCTGTCTGCTTCCTGTCAGCCGGGGGCCCGCGCCCAGCCACTCATCCGGGTCCCGGGGGCCATGGGTCATCTGGGAAGCCTGTATACTCCTGCAGCCTTGTTTTTGCAGAGGAGTTCCTGAAATTCCGGGGCCGGTGCACATTTTTGCTGGTTTCAGTGATAACCACAGACATTACAAACAGACCCCCTGTGCCAACAGGGGCTGTCCAGGCCTTCCTCTGCGGACCCGGCAGCAGGCCCCTGCTCTTCTGGTGCCGAGGCTCACAGCGCCGTCCCTGGGGGGTACAGGTGGGAGCCTGGGAGGCAGTCTCTGGGCACGTTTCTGCCCCGACCTCAGGTCTGCCAGGGCTTGGGAACGCGTGTTCCTTGGAAGGTGGGCCTGGCCTCTTTGCCGTTCTGGGGAACCCCCCGTTCAGAACCTGGGCAGGGGCTGGTCACTTAGGTCACCTTTAAAATGAAAGGCCCACATAGACCCCAGGAGCTCTCCTCCCGGCACGTGTGGCTGAACGGTCCCCATTTGTTCGTGGAGGCTGTCCTCCCGGGAGGCCCGGTTCCCACCTCTGAGCTCGGGGCAAGTGGAAACCGGTGATTCAGTGTCCGTGCCCCTCTGCTGGGTCCTCGCAACAGGGGAGCAGAGGGTCGGGGCTGGTCCTCCAGCCAGGCAGCCCCAGCTCTCTGGTGGCCCACCCATGCCCCTCCAGGGACCATGACTCTGCCCATCCCTGGTGGCTGGGCTCTTCCTTGCGTGGCCGAGGCCAGTGTCTCAGGGCCCGTCACCAGACGAGGTTCAGCACTGCCTCGCCGTCATCTCGGCCCACTCCCATGTCCACAGACCACACCGTGGGCCTTCCAGCCCCTGAGCTGTGGAGTGGTCCTGGCGGCCGCCTCGCCCACCTGTTGACCCTCGTCTGTCCGTCTCCACGCTGGCTCGGCAGAGAGGTGAGGCCCGATAGCCAGAGAGGACAGCACCTTCTCCCTGGCCCCCACAGGGGTAGGGATGGGGGTGGTCACCTGTTCAAGGGCCACCAGAGGCCCCGGCAGACAGCGTTTGCCTGGACAGGCCCTGGTGAGGCCTGGGCTGGAGCTCCCCGGGGCCCTGCACTCTTGGGGTCACTGTTGATGGCCTGCTGCAGGTCAGCCCTCAGGGCCAGCGTGCCAGGCCTCTCCTTAGCCGCCAGCATCCAGTTGGCAGAGTGGCCGTGGAGGCTCCGGCCTGTGTGTGTCTGGCTGTCGTCAGCTGCTGCTGGGCTATGTGCTCTCCTGAGCATCCCTGTCCCCTGGGGTGCCCTGGGCCCGCCCTCTTTGTCTTTCTCCTTCTAAGAGTTTGTCCAGGAGCCTCCACTTCCAGGAAGCCTCCAGGATTTCGCCCGCTCTTCCTCCCTCCCTGGCTTCCCTCTTCCCCCCTGCCTATGGACCTGGTGGGTAGGGACCAGGGGCAGGGCTGGGATAGTAGGGCCATCGTCACACGAGGCAGGTGTAGCTCCAAACCTCAGGGAGCTGAGGTACCTGGAGGTGGAGAGGCAGGCCGTGGGGGGACGGCAGCATGCATGGGGGTCTGGACCCTCCCCAGCTCGACCCTCCACAGGGTGCCGCTCACAGCTGTCCCGAGAACTGACGCTGCTCTAAATGACACAATTAGGAAAGCCATTGTCTTGACTGACCACAGTGGTCACTGTTTTCCCTACGGGACTCAAAACATAAACACAAGAGCCCTCCGCAGCTGGGGGAGACCGGCACCCCACCTGCCTTGGGTCCAGCCCTGGGTCCCTGTCTGGGGAGCCCTGGGGGGTGCTCGGCCACTGGGCCCTCCACAGGAGGGAACCTGCTGCCCACGGGCAGGGTAGACCCCAGGCCGACTGAGGGCAGGAGGGTCCACCAAAGGGGTCCCCAGGAAGCCACAGCTAAGGGCTTGGCCAGGGACTTTGGAGGCCATAACTGGGCCCTGGTGGTGGCTGGGGCTTCCCCGCAGGATAGACCAGGGACAGGTGTGGGCCCTCCGCCGTGCTCCCCAGGCTGGCAAGTCCGTCTCTGAGGAAACCTCTGAGTGTGCTCCAGGTGGAGGACCGGACGAGATGGGACGGGCAGGAGTGTGCCCTGGAGGAGGCCCCGAGTGTGCCGGGGCAGCTCAAAGCCACGTGGGCCCCCTGCAGGAGGCCCTGCCGGCAGAGGCTGTCCTGTGTCCTGGTGGGACTCGGAGGCCACCTCCCAGGTGAGCCGTGCTCCCGTCCTGGGTGAGTCCTGCCCTTGCATTTTAGCCTTAGGAGACGTCCAGGGCACCGGAGTGGAGCTGTGGCTTCTGCACTGGCTGGACAAGGCGTCCCCCTGGCCTGGAGTACTGGACCCTGTGGCCTCCTGCAGGCAGATGGTGCTCCCCAGAGGTGCTGCTCCTCACAGGAGCAAGTCCCTCCAGGGCCTGTCACTCTGCCCAGCTCCACTGCTCCTGGGGCCTCCCTCCTACAGCAAGGAGACAGGGACTCCAGAGCCTCGGGTCCTGCCTGCAGGTCACTGGCTGCCAGGCCCGCAGAGTCGCTGGCACCGGCTGGCCTCTCTGACGGGGGAAAAGGGACGAGGGGTGGTAGCTTTGGGGTCTGGTGATTGAAGCCCTGCACTCTGGGCAAGGGTGGCCTCCTAGGCACCCGGGCAGGGCCTGCTGTTTTTCCTCTGCTGGACTTCAGCACCCGAGAGCCTCTGGCTGGGAGGGAGGGTGGGGACATGGGCTGGGCTTCGGCTGGTCAGCCCAACAGGAGTCACAGGAACGTTTGGTCAGGCTGTTTTGACCACCCACAGGGTGAGGGTCACCTGGAGGTCTGCGGCGTCTTCCTGACCAGTGTCAGCTTGTTCTCTACCCCTGCGCTGGGTCAGGACCACTGAGCTGGGAGGGCACTTAGTGGTCTCCACAAGGGGGAAACCGAGGCTCTGGGAAGGGACAGGTGGCCCCAGGAACGCCAGCTGGGCTGGGCTTCAGGAGGCCGGGCAGGCAGGGCCGTCCACCCAGCAGCCCCAGGAGGGCCCTGGTTGGAAAGTCCTGGACCCAGAGCACCTGCTCCTTCCTCAGCGGCCGGAGCTGGGAGGAGGCGGGTCCCGCACACAGTGTGTGTGTGTATGGGGGGGGTCCTGGAAAAGCCCTGGGCTGCGGCCAGGAGCTCAGCTGTAGACAAACAGGATGCCGGGTCTTGGGCTCCGCCTGGGACAATGGCCGGGAGAGGAAACGCCTCCTGACCCTTGTGTGGACAGGGGGCCCATCCAGGACCTCCTTCAGCAGAGCTCTCAGGTCCACAGGCCCAGGGAAGCCAGAATGTCGGGGGTCTTCACCCTCCAGAGTCTGGGCAGAGAGCGGGGGGCAAGTGCACCCACTGTCAGCCCCTCACAGAGGGAGACAGGATGGGGGTGCTCCCAGGGCGTGGAGCAGGCCAGCCCCAGCCTGAGGGGCAGGCACAGAGGGCCGGGGCAGGAGGCTGGCCCATGGTCAGTCCTGCTTTTTTCTGAGTCCCAGGGGGCCAGGCCAGGGGTTCCCTGTCATGGCCGCAGCCTTGGCCAGCTAGGAGATCTCCCGTCCCAACCCCAGGTGGGGCTGCAGCCAGAAGGCAGGTAAAGAGGTGACAGTTCTGGCCAGTCTCCCAGGTGGGACACACTGGCCAGCTGAGGAGCAGGACGTCCCCTCTCCTCCCCCAGAATGTTCCTATGACCTGGGCGCAGGAGTGAGGAACTGTCTGTGTCTGTGTGCCCACGAGTGTGTGTGTCCTTATGCCCACACGTGTGTGCCCACGTGTGTGTGTCCTTAGGCCCACACGTGTGTGCCCACGTGCACAGAACTGGAAGGGGAACAGAGAGCAGAGCCCGAGGGCCGCTAGTTGGTGGACTTCCCCAATCCCAGTGCCAAACGGGAGCCTGGGTGCCCCCTGGCCTCCACCCCAGAGCCTGGGGGCTGGCAGTGGGCAGGCGGGGACAGGGCCTGGCACCCACCCAGGAAGGGGCTAATGATCAATCGCGGCCAGCGCTGGCCTCTCATTGCTGCCCTGGGCTCCGGGAGGAAGTGGGGCAGGAAGCAGGGGCGGTGGTGGCTGCTCTGCAGTCAGCCTCTGTGGGCGGCCTCTGCCTGCCCCGGCCAGCTGCAGACAGCCCCGTGGACAGCCAGCACCAAGCAGAGTTGGGACAGGCCACCTGCGCCCTGGGCCTGGTGGGCCTGAGAGGTGTCTCGGGAGCAGAGCTCAGGTACGGCGGGCTCTGGGGCAGGAGGCAGGGCGGTGGGCCGCCAGGCGGCTGGGTTGGCAGATGCACAGTGGCCGTCCTTGTGTCTAGGAATAGCCTCCCACTTTCCACTTTCTGGAACATTCTTCAGACTGTCTGCAGTGGGGGTGGGGCAGGACTGCTGTAGGCCAAGGGAGGCTGTCACCAGGCCCCCCAGGGTGCTGCCAGACCCTCTCAGGGATTCTCATGTGATCTGACACGAGAATTCATTTACAAGCGCCTCACAGTGACCTCATAGCCACACTGACCTCGGGGTGTGCCCCCAGGGTCTGGATGAGACGTGGGAACCGAGCCAGGAACAAGGGGTTCTGGGCCAGTGTGTCCCAAGTGTGGCCAGCCCTGGGTTATCGCAGGCCACGTTGGCATGACTGCTGATGCAGCACCTCCGCAGAGCCCGCAGTGCCACTGTGGGTGTGACCAGGCCGCTCCGAAGTCACCCTGGGTCTTTTTTACATCAAATAACAAGATAAGTGGCTGGACCAGGGCCACCAAGCAAAAATTCCTGGGCCCAGCCTTCCAGCCTCACGTCCTGCCCAGGACATGTGGCCTCAGAAGCCCCATGGAGACCTTCTGCAGGCCTAGGGTGACCTCCCCAGGGACCTAGGACCCCCCCCCCCAGTCTGGGATGCGACAACGGCAGGCGGAGCCAGGGTGTGGGAGCATGGGGTTGACGGGCCCTGTGCAGCATGTCACGTGAGAGGTCACTGCTCCCCACAAACTCCATGACGTGGGCACCGGCAGCCCCGCCACACAGAAAGGGACGAGTGATCATGTCCTCAGCTGCCCTGACAGTGACCCTTGGTGGCCCGCAGTGACACTGTGTTCTCAGAGTTCTGGAGGCTGGAGCTGCAGACAGGCTGGGCAGGGCCAGGCTGCACCCAGAGGCCCCACGCGGGTCCTGCTCTTCCTGCCCTGGAGCCCAGGGCTGCTGGGCCTGTGGTCAGGTCACCCAGGCTCTGGCTCTGCCGTCCCAGGGCCTCTCCATGGGTCCGCCTCTCTTTCTCATGAGGACACCTGGCACTGGGTGAGGGCCACCCTTGTCCAGCAGGACTCAGCTCAGCTGAAGGTGAGTTCCACATGAGGCTCAGCCCGCGGTCCCTGGGGGGCCTGGTTGGGGGACATGAGCGTTCCCTTGCCATCCAGGGAGCAGGACTGGACCACCCTCAGGCTTGCTTCTTGGCAAAGAGCCGAGGTCTGGTGTCCCTAGGGGTCTGCCCAGTCCGAGCCCGGGGGAGCTCCAGCCAGAGCCCCCGCCAGTCAGGGCTTGTGGGCTCCATCTCCCGCTAGCAGCCCAGCTCCCTGGACACTGAGCCACAGGGCCACCTGCTCCAACCACGACCCCTCGCGGGCATTTTATTCTCATTTTCTGGGTGGTAACGGAGCACAGAGCACCTCCACCCACTGAAATTGAACCTCGTCTCTGGGTGCTGGCAGCAAACTCTGAGATTGGGTGCTGGACGGGGCCTGGGGCATGTGGCTCAGCCAGCTGACCTCAGGGAGAGGGGACATCTGCTAGAGGCTCTCCTCGCTCTGGGGTGCCACGCCTACTGCCCTGGGCAGGACCCAGAAGGCCCGAGGCCGGAAGAGGCTGCTTGTTGCAGTGGCCAGGAGGGAAGTGTCCTGCAGAGATTGAGCCCACTTCCTCCTCTGAGCAGGAGCCCATGTGTGCGGCTGTCCCGCGTCCCTCACCAGCGGGCGGGAAGTCCCCTGAGCCGGGGAAGCCTTCCCTTTTTCTCGGGGACCTGCCCCTGAGCACCAGCTTTGTGCCAGGCACATGAGGCCCCGGGCACCTCCTCAGATGGGCCACTTCCTGTGCCGGGAGGCGGGTGGGAAGGGAGGCAGACAGCCAGGGTATCGGCAGGTGGTCCAGTCGCCGCCTGGGCTGCTGGGACACCAGCGCTGCCTGCAGGGAAGGCAGTGACCTGGCTTTTGAAGGAAGAAGTGACTCAGAGACCAGGACCCTGGCGGGGGCTGGGGTAGAAGCTACAGCCCCCGCCCCCATCAAAGGGCTGGAGTCGAGCTCTCTGGACGTGCCTCTGTGTGCCTCCACCAGGGGGCAGCAAGACCGCCAGCCTCCACCGTGGGCTTCCTGCGCCTGGCAGACCTGGGCCAGCCAGTGTGCATTACCCTGGCAGGAGCCAGGGTGGCAGCTGGGCAAGGGGGACAGGGGACGAGAGCAGACTCTGAGGCTTGGGCTGGACTCAGCACTGGGGGAGGTGGCCAGGATGCCCAGCTGCATCCTGAATGTGCTAAGGAGCCCCTCGGGCATCCCCAGGTGGGCAGCCTTCCAGGCCGAGGCTCAACCTGGTGGACACCGCACTGTTGACCGTTCTGTCACCTCCTTGGCACTCTGTGCTCCCGGGGTCCAGGTCCACTTGCCTCTTTGCTAGGGAGTGGGGTGTTCCCAGGCCTGCGCTGACCTCCTGGGTTGAGCAGCTCCCTTGGAAGGGGAAAGGGTCTCTTCAGGCACCAGGGACCCTCATTGGGGGCCCTCTGACTTGCTGCCCCCTTCCCATCTACCCAGCCTGGTCCCCGTCCCTGCCCCTCAGAGGTGGTTGGGGCTGGGAAGGATTTGGCCATAAACTGACCATCGGGTTTCACAGGGAACAGGCAGAGGGCAGTTGGCAGGAAACTGGACGAGGCCCTTCACCATGAGCACCTCTTCCAGGGAGCCCTCCCTGCAGTCACTTCCCTTCCCTCCACCTCCAGGACAAGGTGACCCTCAGTTCCCGTTGTAGAATTCCCACCTGGAATCATCCAGGACCAAAAGACAGGGACAGGGTCTGCAAGAACCTGGTGTGAGATGACACCTGTGCTGTGACTACTGGGGGCTCAGCTGCCTTTGTTTTGGTGACAAGCCCCACACCCCACCACCCACCTCCCTCGGTCTTCAGTACATTCTTTTTTGCAGTATTAGGAACTGAACCTATGAGTGCTCCACCACTGGGCCACACCCCCAGCCCTTTTTAATTATTTTGAGTCAGGGTCTCACTAAATTGCCCAGGCAGATCTTGCACTTGAGATCCTCCTGCCTCAGCCACCCAAGTCACTGGGATTACAGGTGTGGCCATTGCACCCAGCTTCTCTAGTATGTTCCGCACAGATATTAAAACAAACTTTCAGACATTGAGGAATGACCCCTTCTCCTGGTTAGAGGCTTTGGTGGCCCTCTGCCCTTGGGGGTACACTCTACCTCATCTGTTAGCCTACGTCCTGCATCCTAGACCCCAGACCCAGGTGCCTCTGCAGCTTCCCTGTCTGTCCTCTGCTGATTCCTTGCCTGGGACGAGGGCGGAGGCCAGAGCCCCGGGAGCACAGCTAGCTGGCCCTGGCTGGGCACACCTGGGCCCAGCCTAGGCAGCTGGCCACGGTATGAACCAGGTCTGCCTCCAACGTCTGCCAAGAAAGGGGGCAGGTCTGGGGAGACCAGGCTTGCACCTTGGTGGATGGAGAGGGGTCAGGGGTTGTTGCCTTGTCCCCCTGAGTGCTTTGGGCAGAGGAGTCCTGGGGAGTTCTGCACCCTCAGGATGGAAGGTTCCCTGCTCACAACCAGCAGATGGTCAGGCTTGAAATTGCAGCCTTCAGGCTGGGCGTGCCACCCAGGTGGCTCCCGCCTTCCTTGTGAGCCAGCACGGCCGTCGTTGGGGGTCTGCCCCATGCTCAGCAGCCTTGCGTGAGGAAAGAGCTGAGCCCGTGACTCTTGTGCTTGTGTTTGATTCATGAAAGGGGACAATGTGTCCTCAGATGAGTGACAAAACCACGGACCTGGGAGCAGGGCCTGTCAGTGCTCATCTCTGAGCCCAGGAAAGTGTGAGGCCAGCGAGCAGCTCCTGGCCAGGGCTCTGCCTCACCTACCTCCTGCTCCTCCTCCCCCCGCTTCCTTCCCCTCCCAGGGGCCCCTGGGTCCTGGCTCCCGGCCACTGGAAGCCTCAAGATTGGAGGGGCCCAGGGGCCGTCCAGCTGATTGCACAGGCCTCTGTTGGTGGGAGAGACTGAGCCCACGTGGTCCAGCTCCAGTAGGGAGGGGACATCATTAGGAGCATCGGGACCCAGGGCCAGATTCCCCGTGCAGCTGAGGTGGACCCCAGCCACAGGCCAGGCCAAGTCCCCTTCCCGGAGGAGGTGGGCTGTGGCGGGAAGCAGCAAGCCGCCTCGGAGAGGAGAGCTGGGAACTCTGCTGTGAGGGGCGGCCAGAGGAGAGCCAACCCTTCCATGACACTCACAGGTCCTCGTCTTAGGCCTGTCCTATCACTGGGGCTTCTCTCCTCTTTTAAAACATTCCTAGTCTAGAGGCTGAAGCCCGTGCAGGGCCTCTAACCTGAAGGTGCTCACAGAGACGGACGGGAGGACCCGCTCTGCTCCCAGGCATCGCCCACGTCCAGAGGACGCCGTCAGAGCCCAGGGCAGTCATCCACCCCCAAAGGTGGGGACGTGGTCCCTCAGGCTTCCTGGAGAAAGGCTGGGGGGACTGACCCCGCCCCAGGCCCAGGTTTCTTACCACAGTGGTTTTGTGCTTCACGTCACAACCAGGTCTGGTTTGGCCATCACAGGCCAGACCTTGGCCCCAGCACTGGGGACACAGGCTGCAAGCAGGGCCACGGCTAGGCCTTGGAGGTGCCGGACACTCTGCCATGTTGGCTTCTCTCCCCGTCCCTCACCCCTGGCAGAGAGGCCCCTGATAGTCTGGCAACCCCACCCTGGAGAGGCCTCTGCTGACGCCCACTGCTCTCTCCACAGGCCAACTGGGCATGCCGAGCCCTCAGCACTGGGGCCGGGGCGGGTCATGAAGAGCCCCAAGGAGGAGACCACTGGGGAGCCAGCGGAGATGGGCTGGGGGCCTGCAAGACCCTCTGGAGGCCACAGCAGCAGGCACGAGGTCCAGAGTGGGGCCATGCACTCACCCTGTGGCCCGGAGCAGGCTGTGCCTGAGGAGGCCAAGGCGCCAGTCCGAGGTGGTGAGTGCAGCTTTGGGGCCACCGCTGTCCAGTCCACCCCACCCCCGCCGTCCACTCCACCCGACCCCCGCCGTCCATGCCTTCCCCTACCCGGCACAAAGGCGCCAGCTCTGGTGTCGGCTCGGGTGTGTTAAGACAAGAGCTGACCCAGCAAGCCATGCTCCTGACCAGGGCCCCGCTCCTGTTTGGGGCCTGTCATGATGGCAAAACCAGAGGGGAGGACCCAGAAGCCGCCCACTCCTCAGAGGCTGCCCTGAGGCCCTGGGTGGCCAGCCTGCGCAGCCCCTCCTTGCTCTCATGCCCTGCTCCACAGGGTGCCCCTTGCTCCTGAGGGGGCAAGCCAAGGCCCAGAGACAGGGAGGAAGTGGCCAGGCCACAGGGGACAGTGGCTGCATCTCCCGGGGCCCAGACAGGGACAGCTCTGTGTGAGGGACATGAGGAACAGTGACAGGGCAGCCAGGCTGGCTGCACCCGGGGGACGGACTCCAATCCTGAGTGTCATGGGCCGCCGCTTAGCCTGGGCCTATTTGCCCTCTTGGAAATCTGGGGGGCAGCCTCAGGACCTCCAGGACCCGCCCTCCACCGTCCTGGCAGAGGGGCAGGGAGGGGGGGACACCAGCTAGTGCAGGGCCCTCCTCTCTCCTACCGAGGGTCCCCAGAGCGTGGCTCATGGTAGAGACTCAAAGGCCATCTGAGGGGTCAGTGGGTGAATGGCACAAGGGGAGAGCGGAGTGGAGACCCCCTGAGCTCCTGCTGGGTCCAGTCCCAGTCACTGCAGCCCTGGGCTCCCAGTGTGTCACGCCTGTCATCTCAGTCCTCCTGCTTGTGGGTGGACATGGGGAGGGACCAGGTGGGCTTTGCACACTGATTCAAAAGGGGAGGAGGTCCTGCTGGGAGGGGTGGCCTAGAGGGCTGGGGACGGGGCCTGGCAGCCCACCCTCCACCATGGGTCAGCAGGGGTTGGGTCCTGCCCAGGCCCGCAGAGTGCACAGAAGTCCAGACTTAGATGGGCCAGACCAGCAGCAGGAGAGTGGCCCACCCAGGAGTGGCTTTGGCCCTCAGGGGGGGTCAGGTGTCCCCAGCCCTGTGGCTGCCAGGGGCTTCCTCTGGAGATGTGCAGGCGCTGCCTCCGGGTCCGCATGGGCACCTCTGAGCCCAGCTGGCTGAGTCCATGGACTTCTGTCTGAGGAGGCTCAACTGGCCACCAGCAGCAAGGCCGGCTCGGGGGAGAGGACTCCACATTGATTCCCCACCTCCTCGTCTTTCTTGGACAATTTCAAGTTGCAAGAAATAGAAGAAACGATTCCCATTTACCCTTCCAACGCTGACATTCTTTATATTTGCTTCATCTCTCCATCCATCCACCCACCCATCCATCATCTACCTACATACACACTTTTTTTTTTTCTGAACTGTTTAAGAGCAAACATGATTCCCTCATCCCAAAGGGATCCAGGATTCCCACAAACAGGGTATTCTCCTACAAAGCCTCAGTATGGGTATTTAACGGTAGCCTGTAACCCCAGACACTCAGGAGGCTGAGGCAGGAGGATTGTGCATTCAAGGTCAGCCTCCACAACTTGGCAAGGACTTGAGCAAGTTAGTGAGACCCGGTCTCAAAAAAAAAAAAAAAAAAAAAAAAGGCCAGGGATGTGGGTCAGTGGTGAAGTGTCCCAGGTTCAATCCCTAGTACCAAAACCAAACCCCAACTGAGCTAAACGACTCCTCCTGAGGCAGTGGGCTTACAGAGGGAGGTTCATTCCAGTCCGGTTGGCTGCCCCGTGGCTTTTGGGCCAGTGTGGAACATCCCAGCCAGAACAGGAGCAGACCAAGCTGCCCACCTCACAGCCAGAAGTCAAAACAGAAAGAGGAAGAGCCTGGGGTCCCACAGTCCCTTCAAGGGCACATCCCAGTGACAAACCTCCCACTGGGCCCCCCTCCTAAAGGTCCCGAGACCTCCAAGCAGTGCCGCAGGGGACCAAGCCCTCAACACAGGGCCTGGGGGGACGGGGGGTCCCATGCCTGTGAGGCGCCCTCCCAAGACTCCTCCGCATGGCTCCTACTTCCTGCCTCAACGTGGCTGCTGGACACAGCTGCTCAGGCCCCAGCCCAGAGGCTCTGACTCTGGGGGCTGGGGGTCAGCTCTGGACTCTGCCTCTACCTGCAGCTGGAGGACTGGGGCCAGCCAGCCACCACCTTCCCTGGACAACTGCCCACCTGGGAGAGACTGGCCCATGACCCTCAAGGAGGGCTGCCCAGGTGGGGCAAGGCAAGAGGAGGAGGGTGCCCGCTGCGTTGTGGGGGTGCAGGGGGCAGAAAGGGTTCCCGAGGAGGAAACTCCAAGGACCCCCGCATCTGCCTGGGGTGGTGGGGAGCAGCCTTGGGAGCACAGAAAGGCCCCAGCCTGTGCACCCCGTCCCCAGACACCTGTCCCTGCTCTGAGCTGCAGGGAGAAGACCCCAGCTCTGGGGCTGGACCCCTGCTGTCACCTTGCCCCCCAGCTGTCCTCGGGCTATTCCTCTGGGTGGGAGTGCTGCCTACCTTGGCTCAGGGTGGCCGGGATGTTGGACAGTGGACACATTATCTGGGACTTGAAGATGCACAGTCCTACCTCTGTGTGGGAAGGGATTCAGGAGCTGCCAAAGCCCAGGGTGTTGTGACACACTGGGAAGGCACTTCACCTGAAGTGGCCCTGCTCCAGATTCCAGAAGTCTCCACACTGCTCACACAGGATCCTTCCCCAGGCACAGGAGGAAGGTGCTCCAGCTTATCCCAGGGTGAGGGGAACCTCCCCCTCCTCCTTTCCTCCCTCCTCCTTTTCCTCCCTCCTCCTTTCCCTCCCTCCTCCTTTCCCTCCCCTCCTCCTTTCCCTCCCCTCCTCCTTTCCCTCCCCTCC